ATGTGTATAAGAGACAGGCACTTCAGAGTGTGGGATGGGCACAGTGAGCCCCTTGTCCTGCTCCCAGGAACCTGTCCCCTGCCTAACCTTTGCAGTGAGCTCAGACCAGCTGGGAGGGGGTGACGGCAGAGGACTGTCCTGTGCCATCAGGATGTTGTAGGGGGAGACATGGCACATGGGGGCTCCTGCACCTCGGCCTCCATGGGACCTGGGTGCTCAGTGCCACCCGTGTCCCCATGCTGCTGTTCCCACCCAGGTGGGGAACAGGATGCACCCAGCATGGAATCCGTGCTGTTCAGAAAGCCTGCCGGGCGTGGGGCGGTGTCTGTGATGGCTGTGCCCTGTCCCTGCAGGTGCTGACCATGGCGATGATGACGATGCAGCTGGGTGGGCTGATGCTGGCTGTGCTGGGCTGGCTGGGCTCCATCCTTACCTGCGCGTTGCCCATGTGGAGGGTGACGGCCTTCATCGGCTCCAACATCGTGGTGGCACAGGTCTTCTGGGAAGGGCTGTGGATGAACTGCGTGTACGAGAGCACGGGGCAGATGCAGTGCAAGGTCTACGACTCCCTGCTGGAGCTCACCTCCGATCTGCAAGCAGCTCGCGCCTTGGTGGTCACCTCCATCTTCGTGGCCTTCTTTGCCTTCCTCACCGCCATCTCGGGCGCAGACTGCACCCGCTGGGTGGATGACAAGAGCACCAAGACCAGGATCTCCATCGTGGCAGGTGCCATCTTTGTCCTGGCCAGCATCATGCTGCTCATCCCTGTCTCCTGGTCTGCCAACAGCATTGTCAGCAACTTCTACAACCCCATGGTGCCTGAGGCCCTCAAGAGAGAGCTGGGGGCTGCCCTCTACATCGGCTGGGCCTCCAGTGCCCTCCAGCTCTTCGGCGGGGGCATCCTGTGCTGCTCGGGACCCCCATCCCAGCAGGACCCTTACCCCAAGAAGTACAGAGCTGTGAAAACCTGCAGCCCAATGGGCTACCCCATGAAAGACTATGTGTGAGCCACTGGTGCCAGCCCAAGGGAGAGCACCACTGCTCCCATCCTGCTTCCACACACTACCCCTGCTGCCCACACGCTGCCTCCTCCTGCCTGTCCCCACGCTGGCTGTACCCCTGGCACAGTCCTCCCATGTGCGCCCTTCCCAGCTGCACTCACAACAGACTATAAACATCTTGGTGCCACAGAGGCTGCCTGGGCTCATTTTGAAGCGCCACGGTGGTGGTGGGGAGGACGGTGATGTGTCCTATGGGTGCCGTGCCCTGCCAGCCTGCTGCCAGCATGGGGGCTGCTGCCCCAGCACCTGGCGTGTCCCCATGAGGATACGGTAGTGGCCAGCCAGGGTGGCCCCTCAATATCCCCCAGCAGGGACACTAAGGCAGGGAGAGTGTGCTGAGAGCCGAGGGGCACAGGGGACACAGCAGGCTCCCAGAGCTCAGTCCTTTGAGCCTCCAAGGACTGGGAGGGGACCCCAGAGAAAGGCCAAATCCCCCCTTCCCAGTTTCTGGCTAACCCAGAGGGTTTGCAGCCCCACTGCCCTGGGAACAACACACAGCAGGAAGGCAGTGGAGGCAGGGGGTTTATTCAACAGCCAATTGCAGGCATGAAGACAGCCATGACCCCAAGTGCCCAGGGGACAGTACTGGGGACAAAGAGGGGGAGCGGGGAGCAGGGCAGCTACCCACAATGGGCACAGGGATCCCAAGACATGGGGGGCAATGCAGAGGGGTGACAAGAACCATTGGCAGGATGAGTGTGGGAGATGTGGGATGCCCCATGTGGGGGCCAGGGACAGACACAGCTACTGACTCCCACCAGGAAGAGCTTCTGAGGGGAAGTAACCTGTTCCCCAGGGCCATGGGAATGGGACGAGCAGGAACAGGTCTGGGGGAAGAGAAAAGAAAAAAAGGAAATATCCCAGCATGAGATTTGGGTAAAAAACTTCCCAAGGGAGCAGTGGGGGAGGAGGGGTGGAGGCAGCATGGCAAGGGGCTTGGGGAACAGGCTGGGCCAGCCATGCCAGGTGGCTCCTGCGTGGGGAGCAGCCACGGCTCCTGAAGTCCCTTCCAGGCTCATTTCCCACCCAGACCATTAACTATAAAGCTGTAGGAAAATGAGAGACTTAAGCAGCTGCTGCAGGATGAAAGGCTGATGTGGTGCTTGGAAAACTTCTCTGGCTGGGTGTCACCTTGGCATGGCTGCTCCTGGTTTGGACGAGGAGGTCTCCTGCACCTCAGGGTGCACTGGGTTAACTCCTGGGGACGACGAGGATGGGTGACCACAGGATATGGTGATGGGGACCCACCTCCAACAGTCCCCAGGTAAAGACCATGGTGGTCTGGGGTGGGGGAGATGAAGAAGGATCCAGATTTTGACCATGAGGGTCGAGAGGTGGGTATGGCAAGGAGAAGACATCCCGGACAGGAGATGGCTCTGAACAGCCAGGTGGGTCTGTGAGATGGTACGGTGAGGGCCAAGGTGTCGGGGACAGCACCGGAATGTCAGAGCTGATGGTGGTGCCCAGGAGACCACGGTGAAACCAGGAAACCCATCCCATGCTGAGGAGCAGGCAAGGTCCCCATGGCCCAGACCTTGGGGGGAAGGAGCCAGGGAAGGGGATCGGAATGCTCCCTAAAAACACTGTCACCCCCTAGCAGCTGCCCTGCTTGGGGAGGGGGTCACTGGGCTGGGTTTTACAAGGGTCCAAGTGCTCACCCCGCCTCTGCCAGAGGCCACGTTGGCTCTCAGCCCTCCTTGACAGGGGGTACAGGGCATTTCTGATAGACGTAGACCACCCCGGAGATGTAGCCAGTGCCCTGGGTGCTCTCCTCCTCGGAGGTGGCCCTTTCCCAACGCTCCACCTCCTGGGCCAGCACCTTCCGCCAGGCTCCCTGCCCCTCCAGCCTCTCCAGTGCTGCCTCCAGCTCTGCCTTGTACCGCAGGTTGGAGGGGTTGCTCCTCGTCGTCAGGCAGAGGAAACCTCCTGCTGGGAGAGAGGGGATGGGTGATGCCCATGCCGGGTGTCGCCCCTGACGATGGCACCCAGTGACTGACTGGTGTTCCACTGGAAAGTGGGGGACAAGGGGGGGCAGCGAGGCTCTGCTGGGTGTCAGCTGGCAGGCCAGAGGGCAAGGGACCGGCAGGGCAGTGGGCCAGCGGGCAGGGGACAGGCAGGGCAGTGGGCCAGCGGGCAGGGGACAGGCAGGGCACCACACCTAAGCACAGGCTGTCCTGGAGTGCCGGGAGTGCCGCCACCACCTCTGGCCGCGTCCGCTAGCAGGCAGGGCCAAGGACCGGGGTGTCACTGCATGTCCCTGCCTGTACCCGGCAGCAGGGACAAGGCCACGTCCTGGCTGTGCCACGGGGCCAGCGCCCAGTCGGGGACCTACATCTACCGGGACCCGGCGCCCCCGCGCTGCCACCCCGGGTGTCCTGGCGGGGAGGGGACACTGGGGACACCCCTCACCCGGCTTGGTGACACGCAGCAGCTCCGGCACGGCCGCGCTCGGCACTTGCCCCTCGCCCAGGGCCCCCACCACAGTCACGGCGTCGTAGTGCTCTGCGGGGACACGCGCGGCATCACCGGGGGGGACCCTCCGGGGCAGCATCGCCGCCCTCCCCGCCGCCCCGGTGCCG